CACTCATAAGTCCTGAGATTTGTTCCCTAGAACAAAGAGGGAGCTCTAAATGCCTCAGAGTGAGAGTACAACACTTGCTTAAAATAAATAAATACACTGAGTCACTTGAAAAACTCACACCTCATGGTAACCAAACTTATTATCCAGCTCCATCACCCACTCATTTTTCAGGCTTGTTTCTTGCCTGGCTACTTTCAAAAATCAAATTCATCCTCAGAGGACAAATAATTACTCTTCTGAAGTTGTTTCCCAGAATCTGAGGCAGTTCTTGAGTAGACACTTCCATGATCCATGAGCAGAAGGAAAAAACCCTGGGCCAGGCAGGACTCTGGCCACTAGATCCACAGTGTGGTCAGTGGTATTAGCAGTCCCCCAGCCTGTGGTCCTTGTCAAGAATGGGCAAATGAAATTGTTCATAGCACAGTGACAAAGCCAAGGAGGTCTGACCTTTTTAGGGCCTCAGGCAATCCTGGTTTAAATCCTAGCTATGAAACCTAGCTGCACAGGTTTGAGCAATTAACTTGCATTTTTTTTTTTTATTTCCTTGAGTAAAGTCTTCTAGGAATTGTAGGGCACATGAACCAGTCAAAGATGGCGCTGAGGGGACATCAAGAGGGCGGGTCCTGAGTTCTTTATAAAAAAAAAAAAAAAAAAGACAATTCTGAGTTCCTTATATTAAAAAAAAAAAAAAAGATGATTGGTTGCCTAGATTGAACCAGATGAGGTACACTGCATGAACAGCTCAGTGTTCACTAGGTAAAGCCTAAGCAGCTTACGCCATGATAGGCTGACCTTTAAAACCATTGGCTGGCTGTTTTCCCGCCCTGCAGTTTTTTGCTTTAAAAGATGCTTGCTGTGTGGTATTAAATGAGTTCCTCTTTGACTAGACTCCTTGCTGAATCTGACTGTCTCCAGGATTCTGGGAGGCTGGGGAAACGGTCGAGCAGCGCACTTACCCTTCCTTGGACCCAGGTCAGCCTTCCATGGTTGGGCTAAGAAAGATCCAACAGGAATCACAAATGAAGCAACAAAATGCTTCACTTGCAGAGAAAGCTAGGATTCATTTTGTATCCCTACTTGAAGGCAGATTGCCCTACATGTAACATCGATGTGTAAAAATGTTAGAAAACGCTCCTTAATTTTACAGTGATAAAAACATTAAAATTCTCAAATGAAGCAAGGAAGGATTTTGGTTTGGATTGGGTTTTTTGTTGTTGTTTTTTTTTTTGTGGTAAAAAAAAAAAAAAAAAAAAAAAAAAAAAAAAAAAACGGTCCTGGACTATGAAGAGCTGAGTGACTCTGCCACTAATTGAGAAAGGGGCTATTTTCACAGAGCCAGTATTTTCCCCATACTGCTTCCATCTGATGTCAACCAAAACAGAACATTGGCCATTTAGTCTCTGCTGGCTTTTTAAGTATGCCAGCTTTATGTGCAACAGAGTAAGGTTACAGAAGGACAGGGAAGAGACCGAGAAACTGTACTGTGGTAGTCGGAACGTGCTAGAACCAAACTATGTCTTCCTAATGGAGAGTTTGTTTCTGGTCTATCACAAAATCCTGGAGTGGAAGTTTTTTCAGTTTGCTGGTAGATTGCCACCATTACTTCATCCTCCGCTTCCAAGTGTACACAGATGTGTCTGCTTCACTGATTGTTTGCCATCCAATCGGAATGTGATCTGCCCCACAGACAAGTACTGGGCTTCACAATAGGCCTTCATTAGCTCACTAAGTGGTGCTTGCCTCTTCACCTTAAACTGCACCAGAGAACCACCTGCCACCTTCAGATTGGTAAAACCATTGTTCTCTGTCTCCAGTCTTCCCCTGGATTTCTTGTTGGCCATGGCTGCACTGGAGTCTCCCTGGAGGCTGCTTCACAAAAGAAATACCACATCCATGCTGAAGGAACACACAACTAACACCAGGAGCAACAGCAGAAGGTGGATCAGGCAGAGGGTTGGGCTAGTTGTACACAAGACTGTTATTGATTTTTTTTTCCCCAATACTGAGTTGGACCTAGAGCCTTGTGCAATGCTGGGCAAGTGTTGGGTCTTTTCACTTTTTGTGGCACTGTCTAAGTTCCCAGGCTGACCCTAGCCTCCCTCTGTGCCCCATGCGTATCTTGAACTTGCAATCTTCCTGCCTCAGGTAGCTAGAATTACAGTTCTGGGTAACTGGACCAAGCTAGTTTAGGGGTTATTTGTTTCTTGAGACAATTTCTTGTCGGCTGAGTTGACCTTAAACTCCTAATCCTCCCACCTCTGCCTCTCAAATGCACAACCACACCCAATTTAGGTCCAACCCTGAGAGTTTTAAATTTACATGAAGACTATTTTGACACATGGCAGACCATGTGTCAAAAGAGGTCTAACAGTGACATGAACAGATTATTAATCAGGCACTCTGGGTTCAATCCCAGCTCTTACACTTGGTAGAAACAGACCTTCAATAAGCTGCCTGAGTCCTATACACTCCGTTGTCTTCATCGATCTCTTGAAAAGCTGTGATAAATGAAGTAAATTATCTACCTAGTGACGTTGAGTGTAGAAGGAAGTAAGATAAGACCCAGTTCCTATGCTCAAGTTGCTCAAAAGAACCTGGTGGAATTTGAGAAAGCCAGTCCAGGAAGCAATATTCCAACAGATCCAACAGCAGAGAGAAGTTCGTGGTTCCGGGTGAAAGAGTAGGCAATGGTCACGTCCACTGAAAGGCTTTAGGGGAAACGTCTTGAAGCAAGAATAGGAATCCTATTTGGTGGAAAGGGCAAACATGGGATTGTACCCGTGTATCCTTTCGTGGACCAGAAGTTGCATGCCTCTCTTGAGCATGATTGAAGTCATAAGGAATGACTGATGCCATAGGGTGGGGGAAGATTGCCAGGCTCAGACTTCAGAGCCAGACTGCCTGGGGCATGAGTCATGGCTCAGCAGCTTATCTTGGGTCTAGTACCGACCTCTCCATTCCTCTGAAAAGAGTGTGATGGGGCCTATGAGGAAGTTATGGAAAGGATTTGACAAATGAAAGTTTACTAAAGTGCTCAGTATTGTGGCTGATACATTAATACAAATTAAGTGTGCATTGAATTTGGCTGTTAAGATTAGTCATCATCTAACCACAAACAGGATTATGGAGGCAGAAAGCATGGTATGGCTTCCAGAGAGGCTGGCAATAGTAGGTGCCACCTAGCCACCTAGCTATTTAAGGCAGAGCTAAACTGAAGGGTTCTTTGAGAGGACAGCCATGCAAATGCTACTATTGATGTTTCTCGCCTACAAGCATGACCTCTTAAAAAGGAAGGAGGGAGGGGGTTGAGCTCTCTTAGGTGGTGAAGACCGGATCAGGTGGTGTGAAGCAGCGTGTGATTGGTTCCCAGCTTTCCAAGGAGTCTGCAACTGGATTTACCATATCCTGTATTCGTGAGTGTATTTTTCCCTTTTCATATCTTAATAAGTCCTTGATACCCCTTAAATGGGCTCTCGTGGGTTCGTTTACACATGTATTATAATGCATGTATAAACTCTAGTTACTGAGTAAAAGTTCTATCACCTTACCAAGACAAAACTGAGATAAAAGCAAAACTTGTAGTCATGCTATTCACAGTAATCCCTGTGCTTTTCCCAGCAATAAAATAGTCACATCAAGCTTAGGAACTTGGAAGAATCCTATAGCAATCTTGAATGTTAACAAATAAACAATACCATGGCTTGTTTAATCATTGACTTTTAACAAATACCTATTTGTGGGCCAGCAGGATGGCTCAGTGGGTAAAAGTACTTACCACAGAGCCTGACAATTTGAGACTGATCCTCCAGAGCCCATACACATATAAAACAAATAAATAAGTATAATCTAATTAAAGATAAGTATCTATTTTCTGGGTGAAAGTTGAATTAGCTTATTGATATGTGTCAAGGATATGGCTATTTATAATTTATGACTTCCCTTTATATAAGCTGCTTGTGCAATTAATACTTAATCTAACCTTTTTTTGTCTATGACTTTTAAACAGTTGTCATTTGGATGTAGTTAACAGCTGTTGTCAGCCTGGGTGTGCTCGGTGTTGTGCTTCCCTCTAGTGGTAAATATAGAAAATTATAGCTTTAAGGGTTTTTTTTTTTTGACTCTTGAAATTTGTTGCTACACTGCTTTCACACACTTTATCTGTGAACTGTCTGAGATGCTTTCAGTAATAACACAAAGTTTAAATAAATAGGTTAAAATCTTTTAAGTGTTTAAAGTGTTTCTCATGGTCAAAATGTGGGTTGGAAAACCCATCTGCCTGGATTCAATACCATTTAATAAGAAGCTGTGAGGTCCTGGGAGATAAACTGGGCTAGTAACTTCCTATGCCATTTCCCATCTACTGAGTGAGGCTAACAAAAGCCTACCCCATATTGTTAATGTGGGGATTGAATGAGTCAATATAGGGACAGCACTAGTCATTAGTGCCATTCAAAATGGAAACCTTATTGCATGATGGTTTTTATTTCTAAGTTCTTTACAATAAATCTTAATAAGCAGAAGTGATTGGCAAGTTACCCTCTTCTGAAATCAGAGAACCTGGCAAAGTGCTGAGTCCACTGTCATAGACTCTACCTCCCTGTTCTCTGGCTGTAGCCCAGACTAAAGCATGTAGAGGAAATATGCAAATTTATGTATCACATTATCATACAGATGAGGAGTGAATGTCTACTGCAAATTCTTTTGTTTTGGTTTCTTTTTGTTGTTGTTGTTTTGTTTTGTTTTTTTGAGACAGGGTTTCTCTATGGCTTTGGAGGCTGCTCTGGAACTAGCTCTTGTAGACAGGCTGGTCTCAAACTCAGAGATCCACCTGCCTCTGCCTCCCGAGTGCTGGAATTAAAGGCATGTGCCACCACCACCTGGCCTATGTATACTACAAATTATATGTTTTATTTTATGTCCCAAGAAGCTCTAACTACACAACTACCTCTCACAAAGAAATCAGACTTCATAAGATATTAAGAATATAACTTAAATTGTTATAAAAGTCAACTAAGATCAAATGTCCATTTATTGTACGATCTATTTACAAAAAAAATTAGGGTACAAATGTAATAGAAAACAAAAGAAACATGACAGGCATATATATGTACAAAGCCAGTGCAAATGTAATAGAAAACAAAGAAACATGCCAAGCATATATATGTACACAGTTTGCCAGTGCAAATGTAATAGAAAACAAAGGAAACATGCCAGGCATATGTATGTACAAAGCCAGTGTGGATAAAACTTTTTCAAGAGTCTACTTCTACTTGTAGCACTTGGCAGTCAAAATAATTTATTACTTCAGTAAGTTTTAGAAAGTTCAATCTTATATGACTAAAACTATGACTTTATTAATGAAAAGAATTATCCTTTGCTCTCTGAAAATCTCCAAGTTGCTGAAGGTCAAATAAACCACATCACACCAGCTTACAAAGGAGCTTAAGTAGGAAGCCAGAATTGTTTAGGAAATCTCTGAAGCATATATTCCATTTTCAGTAGCACTCACATAAAGTGGGAATCTATATACCCAACTCCACAGTAGCCAGTTAACTACTAGAATAATAACTTCCAAAAATAGGGACAAACATTTTTAAACATCTTCCTCAGGTTGGGTACAGATAGGTCCCAGGATAAGGTTTAGTCACCCTAACAAAAGTTGTAATTCTCTGAAAGTCAATGAAGGAAACCACAGGGCATTTCTGGATCTGTCCTTCCAAGTGTAGGCACAGCTTTCACTTCTGACCTTGATTAATTGCTTTTATATTATCAGTTCTTCCCTTAGATCGATGACATTTTGTTGGAGAAATGTGATGTCAAAACTGAAAAAAAGCAAATGTTTAAAGCAGAAATTACTGAAACATTAAAAAAAAAAGGGGGGGGGAATCGAAAAGCCAGGCAAGTACCAAGTATTAGATGACCCTTAGAAGTTTAGCTCATTCCACAGCAAATAATGAAAGTAAGCTATGTCAGGAGCTGTGCTCAGAGCTGAGCAAAAGATTCATTTTGGCTCATAGTTCCAGTCCAAGACTGACAGCTATGAGGGGCATCTACCACAGCAGGAGTATGAAGAAGAGCAAAACCATTCATCTCTTGAGCCAGGAATCAGAAGAACCAGACAAGAGTCAGCTTCCCACAATTCCCTTTACACACATGTCCCCATGACTTGAGGCCTTTGTAATAGTCCCCAGCACCCTGCAGTTGGCACCCAGCTGTGAACACAGACCTCTGGGAGGTTTCAGTCAACAATGGTGTGAGTCCCCATACCCAACCTGAAATTAAGTGCTATTGAAGTAAATAAAGATGATGCTTCTCCTGAGGTTAGAAAGTACTAAATTGGCTCTGTGAGGCCAGACACCTGTCTCCAGACCTGAGGATGAGTTGGATCACCAGGACCCGCAAGGTAGGAAGACAGAACCAACTTCCTCAAGTTCACACACACACACACACACACACACACACACACACACACTTATTTTAATTTTTAAAGAAAGCACTAAGAAATACAATGAACAAGCACCAAACAGCACATTACAACTCAGTGATATTTTCACTGGTCCACTGCCACTGGGCAATAGTCTTCCTGTGTACACTGTAAACGTTCTGGAAATAGTTAAGAAAAAAATAAAAGCAAAGATGTCTATGTGCTCATTATAGGTGCAGGAAGAATGTTTGTTACTGTTTGCCCATTTTCCAAGAATCTCCATCTAAGATTTGGTTGACTCACATAAGCAGAACACATGGCTACAGAGAGAGGCACCTTTCCCTTGCAAATAGCAAAGTGCTATATAAATGTTAGAATTAATTACGCACATCAGACACAGTCTCATACTGAAGATGCAACTTGTAATTCCAAAGAGAACTACTTTTACCTTCTTTGTTTTGTTTGAAGGAGGGCAGATATTTTGTTGGTTTGTTTTAGGGTACTGGGCATTGAACCTGCTGCCTCATGCAAGTTAGCCAAGCATAGTACCACTTAACTAAATCCCTAGACCTGAATTTCTTACATACATAAAATACCATTTTCTGAGTTAACAACTGATTAAGCACCACATACAGTATACATATAGTGGCAACCTATTGGGCTGCACCTGACTGACAATGTGCCTTCCGAAAAGACACACACCTCTCACACTGTTATGCTATTTGAGCAGCCACAGGCATTTCAGTTTTCCAGTGTGTCTCTGCTGCAGGGCACTCGAGTGCTATCTACTGATTTTAGATGCTGTCCCTCCTCCAGTCCTCTTGATTGCAAAAGATTTACTCTTATGTCTGACTTCAACTAAACAAGTGTGAAAATCACCCCTTAAAAAAGTACACCTTTTTATGCATCCAAATAACACTGCTTTAAAGATAAATTTGATTCTGGCCAGGTGGCACAAGCCTTTAATCTCGGCATTCAGAACACAGAGGCAGAATTCAACACAGTGAGTACTGGACCAGTCAGAATAACATGGTGACCCTATCTCAGAGGCAAGAAGCGGGGAGGGGAACTATGATCCTGTTTGCTCTTTTAAAAAAAGAAATATTCCATTCAACTAAAGAATCCAAACCCTTCATATATGACAGCAAACATAATAGTGTTCACATGCAGTGTGGTTAGGCTGACTCTACTACACAGCTCTTCCCTAACCCTTAAAATTTCAAGTATCTCATGCCTACTACAGATAGCAACATCAACTTAGCACCTACCTAGGGAAAAACCATTGTAAGCATGTGCATCTGTATTTTTCAAATCATGTTTTATCTCATGGAAAACTAAAAAGCAAAAACAATTGGCAAGAAAAAAAAAAGATTAGAGTTAAAAAAAAAAAAAAAAAAAAAAACCACTAATGGACAAGCCCTCCATAGCACCTCAAAGCTCTACTCAAGCACTTGAGATGCTAAAGGAGGAGGATTTCCCTAAGCTCCTGGCCAGCCTGGGCTACAATGTGAGAGCTTGCCTTAATAAATAAATAATAGAAAACAATGTATAACTTATCCTACATAAATACTTCAAGAGAATCTGTATGCAAAGCCCATCATAAAGAACATACTTGAAAAAGTAACTTAATGCTTTATCACCACAACTCACCCTTGAAGTTTCTGGACTAGAAAATGGAGAGCACTCCCAAGATCTATTTTCTATGTCAAAGGAATCATCTTGAAATGCAAACTTCTGCTTAAGTGCATTGGATATTAAAGACACTGGATCCCATTGTGAACTCTGTCTTTTCTGCTTCTGAATGGGTCTACCACCTGGTGACCTATTTTTAAAAGAAAAATCAAATACATTAAAACTTCGATGCAATTTTAGCTCTTTGTTCACAAACACAGCAGGGAAAGGAGCATAATATAATCTAATTAGTCTTTAGGAGATTTCTGCAATGAATTAAGGAATCTAAAAAGTACTAAGAATTCAAAATCAGAAAACTAAGAAACCAAATAGTTGGTGCCTCCCACAACCTGTCACGACCTGAGGTCCCTCATTTTCACTGCTACAACAACCTTAATCTTTAACCTTCTAATTTCCCACTGCAGAATTCACTAGGCAGACCAGGCTAGATGGCCTTGAATTTGTGATTCTGCTTCTGCCATCAGGGACTACAGGTATGCTCCGTGATGTCCAGCACCACTAAATAGAATTTAAAGAAATCTTTAAGAGCCAGGCATGGTAATGTACACCTTTAATCCCAGCACTCAAGAGGCAGACACAGGCAGATCACTTTGAGTTTGAAGCAAGCCTTGTCTAAAAAGAGGGTTCCAGGATAGCCAAGAGAAACCCTGTCTCAACAAAAGAAAAAGAAAGAAAGAAATCTTTAAGAATGTTTGAAAGGACTAGATTAGATTTTACAAAAACACCATTTGGCTAGCTGTTCATTAATTTGATCACAGTCAGTCAGTCTTCATTAAATTACAACTATTTAATCATGCTACTTTTAGAACTTTCCATTGAGGGGTAACCAATCTCAGAGAAAGCAAAATGCTGGGTAGAAGGAACTACTATATTCCTAATTCTTTACAACATGGAGTAAGTATAATTAACATGCCAAAAAAAAAAAAAAAAAAAAAAAAAAAAAAAAAAAAAAAAAACCTGAAGTGTGGTAAGACAATAGAAGAAATAGTCAATAAAAAGAAAAGGAGATCTCTGTGAGTTCGAAGCCAGCCTGGTCTCCAGAGCAAGTGCTAGGATAGGCTCCAAAGCTACCCAGAGAAACCCTGTCTCGAAAAAAAAAAAAAAAAAAAAAAAAAAAAAAAAAAAAAAAAAAACACTAAAGGTGATTCTCTCTCAGAAGGTGGCCCCAGGAGGTAAGGAATAAGATAAATACACCAACTCTCAAACAATGTCTCTGAAAACAATGGATAAAATTTCAGTTCCTTCCCCAAATTCTGGTGACATACCTTTCAATGGGACGAAGTTTGACCTTATTCATGTCCTTTAGAATGTCTAACATGTTTGGGACATCACTAACTCTCTGGCTTTCTGAATGATGGCTACCATTCACCTTGTTAACACCTGAGTGCTGCTTTTCCATTGCAGTTGCTGGATTATCTCTGTTAGTAGATCCAGGCTGCATGGGAGGAAAACACGGCTGGAGAGAAAACTGAGGCAGAGGTGGTGGTGAAGGAGGAGAAGAAAGCACTGAACTTGGAGAATGATCAGGCTCCACATTCAGCCCAGAAGTTGCGGATGATGGTGTGTGTTCCATGCTGGGTTCATCACTCAGGTCACAGAAGCCTAAAGCAAAGTAGTCTGTTGAAAAACCAAAACCATGCACAATTCTCTTCTGCATAATATATAAAACCAACACGAATTAAACCACTAACAGCCTCTGTGATGCTGCTAAACTGTCCACAAGGCAGCCAAGAAAGCAAGCCAATCCGATCTATTGAGTAACCCCTAAGAATGGCCATCTGAAGTGTCAGTTCATTTCTAATCCAGTCAGGACAGCTCAGGACACACCCTAAAGGATGCAGTTTAAGAGGGAGGGAAGTGGTTTCTAGGAATCTATAGAAAAAATCTCAACTTCACTCTCCACTTTTAAAACCAAAACATTAACAACTTCTAATTCTTAGTACTCAAATTAATGTATACACTCTAAAATGACATTTGAGAGACAGGTGTATGACTCTACAGGCGATATCCTAAGATGAGTATTTAACTTTCTCATAATTCTACTCCTAAAGAGCTGTGAGGAAACATCCTTACTAAAAAATAATTAATTTCTTAAAGAGAATTATACAATAAGAAGCCTAAGACCTTAAAAAATAAAAAAAATAAAAAAGAGTATATGCATGAGTAATTATTTATATGTGCATATAAAGTATTACATGATTTAACTATATATGTTATATTGCATATATGCTGTAGCATTAGTATACTGCATGTTATTTGTATATTATGCACACATAAATATATATGTAAAATTTTAGTAATCATACTTACACATAGCCCCTTATAACCAAATCTGTTGTGAAAAGAATTCAGTACCTGTATAGCTTAAGTCTCATAGGTTTTAAAAAAGATTTCCTTTTTATTGTTATGTATAAGGGGGTGTGTGCATGTGAGAGCAGGTGACCTTGGAGGACAGAAGAGGGTGTCACATTCCCCTCCAGTTGGGGTTATAAATAGTTATGAGTCACCCAATACAGGTACTAAGGACAAAATTCAGGTCCTCTGAAACACCAGTATGTGCTCTTAACCACTGAGCCTTCTCTCCAGACCCTAAATTTTATGTTAAAAGATACATCTCCAAAAGCTTAAAGATGGACATCTGGAAAGTATTATCCACCTGAACTTTGAGAGAGTGTGTCCTCAAAACTAAAGACAAGCAGTCAACTGTCAACAGCACTTGTTCCAGGACCAAAGTTCAGATCCCAGGACCCACATGCTGGCTCACAACCACCTATAACTCCAGTTCTAGGAAATCCAATGTCCTCTTCTAACATCTGAAGCAGGTACATACATGGTGCACAGACATAAATTACAAACACCCATAAATCTAAAAAAAAAAAAGTTAAAAGCAGGCTTTGATGATTCCCCCATGGGAGGTCTCAACCTCCCTGAGGAGTGGATGGGGGTGGGATGGGGAGTTGGTGGGGGGAATGGGAGGACAGGAGGAAGAGGGAACTGGGATTGGTATATAAAATAAGATTGTTTTTAATTTAAATAAAATTAATTTAAAAAATAAAATAAAAGTAATTTTAAAATTTTAGAAAAATAAAAATTATTAAGTTTGGGGAAATCAGTATTAGTTTTTTATTGCCTTGTTTTGGTGTTTCTGAGAGAGGTTTTCTTTTTTTTGGCATTTTTTTAATTTGAATTAGAAACAAGATTGTTTTACATGACAATCCCAGTTCCCTCTCCCTCCCCTCCTCCTCTACCACCACCCCTAACTAAAACCCTATCTATCACATATCCCTTCTGCTCCCCCTGGATGGTGAGGCCTTCCATAGGGTATCATCAGAGTCTATCATATCCTTTGGGACAGGACCTAGGCCCACTCCCATGTGTCTTGGCTCAGGGAGAATTCCTCTATATGGAATGGGCTCCCAAACTCCACACCTATGCTAGTGATAAGTACTGAACTACAGGAGGTCC